CTTCAAAAATTGCAGCAAACTCTAAAATTAGCCCAATAATTATCTCTAATTATACTCTAAACTCCATATTGTCATGAGCCAGGTTCCCTGGGAAATAACTGCTGAGATCTGCCTCCCTGCATCTGACCAGATAGTGCTCTGGCCACACCTGCGGACAGGTGAAGGCAGGAAGACTGAGCAAAAGAAAAACTGAATTTCAAAGCCAACCATAGAGAGCTGCAATGCCTTATGTGTGCTGTCCCAAAAGGGCTGCTGGGAACTTGCTGGATTATACTATGATTTCGATCTCGCCACCAAAACTCATGGGGAAATTTAATTCCTGTCATGAGATATTAAGAGGTGAGACCAGGTGAAATCTTGAAAACGTGAGTAGGTCACAAGAGCAGGTTTGGTCTAAAAGAAAGTGTGCTCTGTCTCTCATATGCACCGATCGCCCCACCAGCACCACCAACGCTTCCCTGAACCCTGTCAGGCTTTGCAGAGTCCCTACCAGCAAGAAGGCCCTCACCAGACGTAGCCCCTTGCGCTTCGAGCTCTTGGAGTCCAAATAAGCTGATCTGAATAAACATTAATTCTCTACAAATTACCCAGTCTGCAGTATTTGACTACAAAAACAAAACCAAAAATGACAGGCTACTCCAGGAAGGAAAGTAACTTAAGAAGTAACACTTCCTTGTTAAAGAGGATGGTTTCTAGGGACAGCCTCATTATGACCATCAGTGGGCAAGGACGTAGGCAGCTAGGAAAGAGGGTATTTTAGGTTTAAACAGGAGGGTGTGGGGGCACACAATCACAACTACATGTGAACAATATTTTTAAATGATCAACTATGATCATCAAAATATATTATCCAATATGAATAAGTAGTCTGAAAATGAGAAATGGTTCTCAATATTAACAGTGTGTAGTGATAGTGAACAGTTTGAACCTAAAAGCTGAGATTGAGTGCAGTCAATTAAAAATGATTGCCTACCTTAAAGTTATCAAGCATGAGTAGGAATGTGGCATTCACTAAGGTTTACTCCAGTAACATTTCCTGCCAGAATATTTAGGCAAAAATATATTCCCAATAATATCAATATTTACAGAAATATTCCTCCATTTGGAGCAAAAGAGCCTCATGCAATAAACAATGGGAATTCAACCTTGATTTTCTCATCCTTCCTTACTAACTGTGCACATTACCAAGATTTATTCTTTCAAGTTAAAAAAATCTTCATTCCAAGTAAGAAAAGACATCATAATCTAGTAATTATTCACATAACCCTCCCTGTGCAAGTCATCCTTCCCAATAAAATGCGTTTTCACTGATCTTCCATTCACCCTGATGAACCTTGACTCTTTTGTCTGATCAGACATTGTTAAAAGGAACTAGAAATGCCTGATATATTAACATCTTGTTTTTCACCTGAAAGAAAAAGAAATCTCCATTTCAACCTTTTTGTGTTAACAATCTTGCTAAATATAGAATTGGAATTTTCCTACATAGCAATTCTTCTAGTGTATTTATGCTTTGTTTTTCAGATAATTTGCTATTTAACAGAGCTTGAAGAAAGCAAAGAAACTTGAAATGTTTTGAATCATTGCCAAGTGTAAGTCAATCATAAATCAAAAAAGGAATGCTCTTTGAAATTATAATGTTGGTCAACATAAAAATAGTAATTGTTTGCCTCCTATTATTCAGGTATGCATCTTTTTGGGGGTTTTTTGTTTTGTTTTTTGAGACAGGGTCCACTATGTAATTGAGACTAACCTGGAACTCACTATGTAGCCCAGGCTGGTCTCGAACTCACGATCCTCCTGCTTTAGTCTCCCGAGTGCTGGGATTACAGGCATGCGCCACGACACCAGGCTGGTATGCATCTTTTTAGTAAAACAAAACACACTGGAACAAAATGGTCCACAGTGACTGATTCATACGACTAACTGGACTGTAAAATAAGGGCTAAAATGGTTTATAATTATCAAATTTAGCTATGATTTTTAATAACCAGAAGTGACATTATAGATTAGAGAATATAAAATACAAGAGCCATTAGGCTACAATGCATCCATTTTATATACCAACGATCAATATTCACATATCAGGTGTCTTCTTAACTTCTCAGGATAGATTTGAATTGAGCGGTCATCTAACCCTCATGACTTCAGTAATTACCAGTATGGTGAAAAACTAACAGCACATATGAGAGGTGAATGAGGGCTATACAGAAAGAGGTATCTACTCATTACTAACGATGTGGCCATCAAGGCCAAAGCCCCTCGTATAGCTCCTTTTCTTTGTTCTTGTAGTAAGAGCACTTATATACACACAATGGAATATAATTCAGCTTTTACAAAGAAGGAGCTAATGTAATTTTCAAAAACATGGATCAAACTGGAGGACATTATGCTAAATTAAATAAACCAGGTTCAGAAAGAAAACTATATTTTACTTGCATGTGGAATTTAAAAGAAAACAAACAAAACCTTTGATTTTACATGTTTTGTATTATAATTAAATGGACAATTTTATTTTAATTATCTGGAAAATACTGTCTTTTTCATAGCTATCTCAGTAGTTGAAGTGAGGTTATATAAAAAAGAAAGTAAAAGTAGTATAGTTTAGTTTCCTGTACAAGTGGCCTGTGGGTATTCTGCTAAGTACCAACGCCACAGTTTGACTTCACTCAGAAAAAATTCACTTTCCAGAACTTTCCCCAAGGCATCACCAAGTATCAACTTCAGTATCCACAGACAAGGGTAAAATGCTAAGGAATAATATGAACACAGAAGACGCATGGTTTGTTATCAGTACTTAATATTTATTTTATATGCATAGAAGGCCCCTGCATTTGTAGAAACCTGTCTAAGAATCATGGTTTTTGACATGCTCTTTGATTTGTATATATATATATGAAATTTGTTCATCCTAACATTTAGAAATGAATGTTTCTACTCCAATTTGAGATTCACTTGAAACTTAAATATCATTTTGCTATTTATGGACTACCAACCTTTCCTTTTCTGCATCTAAAACTACAAAATGTTACCTTGGGAATATCTTATGTTTTCTTACCTCATGAGGGGGGAGGGGAGAAAAATGGTAATGTGAAATCATTCATTTGATCATTAGCTTAATGTAGGGGAATATTTCATAATGTATATACATAACAAAATGTCAATTTGTATAACTTAAATTTATACGATTAGTGTCTGTCAATTATGTCTCAAAAATGATGGAAAATAGCTCAGTGTTTCAAATTTTTGTGCAAAGGTACTACTTAAGCTGAAGAAAATTTACATTTAAAAATATATTTTTAATTACAAAAAACTATATGACAGTAAATACATATATCAGTAAATATTTTCTCATTTCTCCAATCAACTTTATATTTGGAATCTAAAATGCCACATTCAAGAGAAAGTATTCATTTCAATGATGCAAAGATGGAATAGAGAAAGCTGATTGTTTAGAAATTACCCTATATGTTAAATAGCCTTAATAAGCAGGATTTGACCCTTATTGTATCTATGTCTGAAATATTAGAATTTGACAGTCTAGGGAATGAAAAAATTCATTCACATACATTAGCCATATCACAGCAACGTACAATGGGGGCATGCGGGGAGGGAAGGAGAGAAGTGAATGGGATGAGAGAGGAGGTGCAAGGGGTGCGGGGAGACAGAGGAAAGGAGAATCAAACTCGGACAGATCCCGAAGCTCACATCCTGAAGTTAAGGGAAGGAGACACGTCTCATTTCTTGTTTCTTCGACATCACGTTAAATCCAAATCAGTGCTTAAATTCACTGATTGGTAACTGAGAAAATGTGCTCAAGAAACAAACTTTAGAAGGATAAAGTCCTAAAACATACGGTGAAATGCTTGTGTACTGTTTGTATGATAGCAGCTAGATTTCCTTCTACACAGACTAACTTCGATTCCCTATGATTGTCCAAGGAGCAGGTTATTTATACAGCCCCTCCATCGTTTCTGACTAAAGGCTCTAACATTCAGTGGTCACTCTAAAGTGGCTCTGGAAAATGTGACTTAGATCTATTTGATTATTATAACTTGAATCACTAGTATCTGGGAGCTATCAATTATTTATAAGGAAGTAATATGTAAATGCTGAAATGTTTCAGTGATCTTTGTAAGTACACGTTATCCCCTCTTTCCCTTTGCTACGAGACAATGATATCCTTAACCACCTCCGTAAGGTCCGTGGTTGTCCGTTTTATCTTCAGGTCCTTAGAAGCAGGATTCTGGCAATATTAATGTATATGAGATAAGAGCACTGCCTAGGATTGATCCTGCTGCCAAGAAGCTGTTCAGTAAATATTTGTTAACTATATTACTGTAAAATGAATTAAATGGAGGATAAATAAGTATATCATTAATGTAACCAGTGTAATATCACATCTGACTCTAACCATATTTATTAAATACTAGAATTTTAGAGCCATTTGACAAGGTTTGAGTTGAAGAATTATAAGGAGCAACGATTTAAAAAAGAGAAGGTGAGAGAAATGATTGTAGAAGAATGAATAAAAATTTCTAGCACATGGAAAAAAAATAGAAACTTTAAGATAATGATAATGGACAATGATAAACATTTTTTTAAAGCTACATAAAAAGAAAACATAAGATTCCTACTAGTAAACTAGATAGAAATAATACTTGAAATAAGCTATATGTTCATTTTAAACCACAATGGATAAATTTTGCCTAATTTGAAGCGTCACATTCATTGATAGACTGCCTAATCTAAAGACTTAACAAGCAAAGTGCTTCAGGCACTATATTAAAACACAGTTTAAATAGCAAAATAGAATTCAATTATTGCTCAATAAAATAATTAAAAATATGTCAAGATTATCTATACATAATAGATAAAATAGAACTTGAGAAATTAATGTAAATCACCCTGAATTCTGGAAAACTAAACATATGCTAAGCATCTTTTTGTTGAAACGTTTTATAACTATACAGCAAGTAAGGCATTTCAGGAAATCATACCTGCAAAAGAGTAGTTCTGTGGAGCTTTAGTGCCCCCTTCTGGTGTATTTTAGCAAAGCATCCGGAACAATAATCTTCACCACATTCAAGGCATACCTTAAAAAATATATATATATATTTTAGAATCATACAATCTTATGATACTATGAGTTTGATAAATTTTGCATAGAGATAACATTTTATTCATGTTTATTCAATTCATTTCATATCTAAATGTCATCAAAAGTGAAAAGACTCATGAAACTAAGATTTAATTCTGAGAGCAACTAGCTTTTAAACACTAATTACTCTCCTATCAAAATAAATGGAATAATTACAATGCAGGTATTAGGTGTATGTATTAGATAAAGGCATATATATATATATAATTAATGATAATAAAACAACCTCAAATTAAACTTCTTGACTTTAAAAATTAAACAATTTCTTTGGGTCAAAACTTTGTCACTTTTGTGTTTTATTTTATCTTTATGTACAGAATAACATGACACAATTAGTTTCAAACAATGTACTCTTTTGTTCAAAAATCTCCACTTATATCCATAATAGATAATCCATCACTGGTCAGTCTCAAACTGCAGTCTTGAAAGTATTCTTACAAATGTACCCAAAGGAAAAAAAAAAGATGAAAAAATAGAGGAATCATTACAAGGTCAACAGTGTTTATAACTAGTAAAATGATTATGGTCCAATTCATATTGATTTTCTAAATTCTCTAGGATGAAAAAATATTATCTTAAAATGTACAGATAAGTTCAACAACGCAATATGCCTATATCTATAGAGGCACCAACCAAGACTGAAAGAAAAAAGAATATAAAGTTTTCCTACAACTTAAATTATTATTCTGCAGCTGTACTCCTTTTCAGTGCCATACAAGATATGACAAATGGCCATAAAAATGGCTAAAATCCTTCGTTTTTTGTTTTTGTTTTTTTTTATTTCGGCCCAGGTTGAGCAGAATTGTACGTAGCAGTTGAATGGTAACGAAAGCATGAGGACTTCCTGAGAAGGTATCAGAAGGCCTGCCTCAAGACGCTCACGTAAGTAGGCTAGGGTATTACGTTTCCTCTCGGGGCACCTAACACTGTTCTCTAACACACTTCCTTCTTTGTCCCTGGCAATTCTGTGCAAAGCAGCTGGGTTAGGTTAGTAAGAGGTCAATGAAACTCTTCTGCCTAATACTGCTCAGTGGGGGACTGAGTTACACCATTGTGCTTCTCCAACAGTCGTGTGGTAGCGATCATCTGGGATTGGTTGCAATACATGCTCTTGTTCATTAGGTCTGCAATGGAACCAGAGACCCAGCATTCTAACAAACTCCGGGTAACACCCCTGCTGTGCAGATGCTACACCGAGGAATGAAGAGCTAGAGTGCCGGAGACACACGACAGCAGACTGAACTCGTGTTACACACGCAATGAGACTTAGAAGTCCGCTGAGCTTTTAAAGGTATGTTAAACGTCCCACGGGATGACGTGGTTATGTACAATGATGCAGTCAGTTTTATTCAATATGAAATTACAAAAGCAATAAAATGCTTAAAGGTGTAAGAAAATGTCTATAACTAAAATGAAACTTAAAAATGGGGTCAGAATTGAAATAATAATAATAGCCACAGCGTTCAATGAGCACTCTTCCAGGGGTTTTACCTGTTCAGTCTCAACCCTCACGGCTGTCCTATGAGGTTAGAACAATCACTCTGAGAAGAAAAAGTAACACAGGAGCACAACGAGCGATATTGGCCCACGGGCCTCTGTACTAGTGGTAGTGGGGCCAGGACTGCAAGCTACTGTCTGACTAACAGCTCCAGCCCCTCACTGGGGCTCACACACAGTCATTAAACCAATCGCTGCTCATTAACTGCAGAATGAACCATTTACCGAGGAACCCTGATGAAATTCACAATAAAATAAAATTTAGCATTTCAAATGACTGTCTGGACTGGTATTTATCAAAGTTTTACTGCATTTTTTTCAAGTGTGCTTAGCTACAGAGAACCAGATATTTTATTTGAGCACACACACAAAAAAATACTCTCTGTAGCATGAGTACCAGGCTTATCCATTCCACTCTTGTTTTGTGCCTCTGAGGGAAATAATGATGACACTTTGCTAATTTCATAATTGTGCATGCAAAATGAATTTTAATTTAAAATCTAATTTCACATATATATAGTAGTAGTAGTATATAGATATAGCTTTCAATATGTATTCTGCATAATTTTTTTCATATACATGCTAACATTTTAATAAATTTATCTCAAATGCTTGGCAGTTTTCACAATGTAGTATTATACAGGAAGTTTAAACTATGTTTCAGCATATACTTCTAAGCCAAGCAGACTTTTAATGATAGTAGCCAAACAGGTATTTGTACACTGAAAGATCAAAGCTGGAGTTGCAGAATAAGCGTATATATTTTGTTACATGGACACATTTATATTAAAACTGGGTTAAAGTGACTGCCAACTGGAAAAATCTTTTAGGCAGTTTGTATAACTCGGAGAAACATACTGAAAATATGGATAAGGATTCCATTCCACCATGATACTTCTTCACAGGTAGAAGAATTCCCAGGAACCATTTTAACAAAATACGTTGCCAGTTGGATGAATGCCAAATCAATTGCACTGAGCATTTAGAATCCATTTGCATTTAAGTAAGTTATCCAGAAATGCCAAAATAATGTGTAATTTTTAACTATCCAATTTACTCTTGGAGTATAGAAACAACCTCAAACTACTAGAACTCCCTTTCAATATAAGAAATGTTGAAGTTTTGGTTTGTTTCCATCGTGAATACATCAGGTCACAAAAGATACACCAACCAAGAAAACACAATCATTATCTCCTGTCTAGTTGTCACACACAGTGCTGAATATTTCACATGCATTAATTCATCATTATCAGTAACTTTCTGATATAAAATTTAGTTCTTCGCATTATTCCATTCAGCAAGTGAGAAAATAGTTCTAGAAAGATGAAGTCACTAATTAAGGGCACATAATTAATAAGGAAAGTTGCAATTCTAACCACCCATTACAAGTTCTGAGCACCTACCTCCCATCCTCCAATACAAAATGTTCCCTGATAAAAAGCCCTGTGTGTGTTTGTGTGTCTGTATGTGTCTAGTTAGCAGTTATACATAATAAATGCTAAGAAATAAGACAATCTCAGAATTTACTGTGTTCTATTTCATTAGATCAGCACATCATTCAAACAGTTTATTGTGTTTCAACAACTACCATGTAAAACTGCTTTATTTCAAATCAAAAAGAATTCTTTTTTAAAAAGCTTAATGAGGGGGTGAAGAGAGGGCAGGGACATGGGGAAAAAATGAGAACTAACACCTGTCATGTAGAGGTACAAGATCCCAACAATGAATGTAACTGTACTGCATCCCTGAAATGTACCAATAAACTCAATTAAAGCTGAAACAACAAAAAAAAAAGCTTAATGAAATTCTTAAAAGTTTGAATCTGGGCAGAGATTTAGGTCAGTGGTGTAGTACCTGACTCACAAGCACAAGTTCCTGAGTCCAATCCCCAATGCCGAAAAAAAAAAAATTGGAAAAGTTTATAGCTTAAATCCTGAATACTGTGCCAAGAATTTTCAGACAAAACAGTTCTTTAATCACTGCACACATTGTCATTCTCAATCTGCTTTCCAGTCCTCTCACTTATCCCATCTGGAATTGCCTTCTTGTTACTTCTTTCATTTTAAAAAATAGATCTTTTGCTTTGAGGTCAAGCCCTATGCTATAGCACTCAATAAAACCAGTATGAACATGGAGACATTACAACTGATAACAAAAAAAAAGGAATCATCTTAAAAGATTATTATGAACAACGATGTACTGACAAACTTGATAACCATGAAAAACTGGACAAATTTCTGGACATTTACACTTTATTAAAAATTAATCAGGAAGAAATAAAAAACTTCAACAGATCAATGAAAAGTAATGAGATTCAATTAGTAAAAAAGTCTATCCAAAAAAAAGCCCAAAACCAAAAACTTAACTCTCAAAATTTTCAAACAGTTAAAGAATCAATACTTCCAGTCTTAAATAATTTCAAAAAAATTGAAGATAAAGGAATTCTTCTAAACATATTCTATGAGGACAACATTCCCCTGACAAAAAAAACTAGGCAAGGACATAACAATTATCAATCTACAAACAAACAACAAAACAGACCGATATCCCTGGTGAACGTAGATGCAAAATCTTCAAGAAAATAACAGCAAACTGAATATAACATATTACAAAGATTATTATCTATAATTAAGTGGGGTGCATGCTAGAGATCCAAGAATTGTTTAGCATATATAAATCAATAACATGATACAAGAAAGCAACAGAAAGAAGAAAATACGTGGCTGCCACAATAGGTGCAGAAAAGGCATTTGATAAAATTCAACATCCCGTTATGATAAAGGTGCTGAATAAATTAAATATAGAAAGAATGCACTTAACATGGTACAGGTCATATATAAGTCAAAAGCAAACTTCACATTATAGCGAATGCAGGCAAACTTGTGAAATGAGACAAAGATACCTACTTTCATCAATTTTATTCAATATAGTACTGGAACAACTTAGCTATGGTGTTTAGGCAAGATAAAAATAAAGGCACTCAAATTGGTAAATGGGAATTCAAACTGGAAAATGAAAATTCAAATTTCCACTCTTTGCAATTGTCATAATTTTATACATAAAAGAGCCAAGGTCCCCACAAATATACTTTTAAAACTCATAAATGAACTCAGCAAAATTGCAGCATATAAAATCAACATACAAACTCAGTACTGCTGCTATATTCCAATAACCACTTATATGAAAGTGAAACCAAGAAAGCAATCTCATTTGCCATTGCTATCAAAAAATACCCACGTAGGAATAAACTTATCCAAGAAGTGAAAATCTTTACAATAAACTATAAAATAATGATTGACAGAAATGAGGGCACAAAAATGTAGAAAGAAATCTTTTGCTCATCAATTAGAAAAATCGAGAGTTAAAAATGTCCTTCCTAATAAAAGAAATTCACATATTCAATGCAGTCCCTTTCAAAATCCCACAGGCATTGGCCACAAGAGTATAATATGGAGACAAGGGAAGCTTAACTCTGTTGGTGGGAATGTAAATTAGTACAGCCATTGTGGACAACAACATAGAAGTACCTAAAAAATTTTAAAAAGCACTACCATGTAAGCCAGCAATCCCACTAGTGGGTACATATACAAATGAAAGGAATTAGTATCAGTGCAAAGGAGAGAAAAAGACATCTACACAGGCACGTTCACCGTAGCACTACTCACATCAGACAGGAAACGGGAACAACCTAAGTACTCAACAACCAACGAGTAGATAAGAAAATGTGGTATGTATGAAAAACGGACTGCTATGCAGCCATAAAAGAAAATCGTATGTGGTTGTATGTGAAAAATAAAGTGGATTTGGAGATCATTATGTTATGTGAAATAAGCCAGGCACAAAAAGGCAATACATCGTGATCTCATTCATATTGGAATATATAAATTGATCTCCTACAAGTTGAGAGGAGCATGATAGCAAAGGTTGTATTGTTGATCCCCAAGTACTAAGTTAGATAGAACGGTGGTTAGGACTGGTGTGCTTTTGCACACTATTATGATTATAGGTAATATGAATGCCTCAGAGGGAGTCAAGAGAAGAAAAGCAGATGTGGAGAGGGATTGCTGTATCAAATGGGTCTAATTAAAATGAAAACTAATAATTTACCATTGTATTTAAAGAATGGAGAAGTCTCTGATGACCTTGACAGTAGTGTAGCCACAAAACTGAGTGAAGAGAAGTCAAGAGAGAACAGGAATCCAGCAATTACCTTTTTGGGGTGTACATCCAAAAGAAATGAAAGTAGGGTTTTGAGGAGTATCTTTGCATTCACATTTATAGCAGCATTATTCGCAATAGCCAAAAGTTGATACAATCCAAGTAACTATCAATGGATAAATAGGTAAAATTTGATGAATGTATTACTCAGTCTTAATGAGGAAGGAAATTGTGGCATGCTACCAACATAAACTTTCAGGACATTATACTAAGTTAAATAAGTCAGTTTCAAAGGGGAAAATATTAGGTGATTCCATTTTTATGAGATGGCTAATATAGGCAAATTTCAGAGATAGAAAATAAAGTGCTGTTTGCTAGGGGATAGAGTAGGGACAATGGTGAGTGTTTGTTCAGTAGGTAAAAAGTTCCAGTTTTGCAAGATGAAAAGTGCTCCATGGATAAATGTTGGTGATAACATCACAAACATACTTAACATCACTAACCTACAAATTTCAACTTATGCACTCTTTACAACAATTTTTAAAACTGTTCAAGCAAGTGGCACCATTGAAAATTATAGAGCTATTAAAAAGCATCTATACTTTTTATCATTTGCTTAGTCTTTTAGAAGAAAGCAGATAATGTAGATAATTTGAAAAGACTTGCATATAAACGTCTATAGCACCCTTACACAAATTTAAAGAAAGCAAAGAGAAGGAGAGGTGACAATACTGTACGTACTAGTAGGGCAGTTTTGTCCTCACACTGTCCACAAACCTTCCCTTTTAGCTTGGGTTTTCCAGTTCTAGAAAAACTTGCCATTTTGTAATGAAGGGGTTGTTTTACTGGCTCTGGAAGAAAAAAAAAAGTTAAACCATTTTAGTAATTTTCAATTTGCAATATTATGTTTAATTTTCTGATTAGTAAAATAATGAAAAGGTACACTGCTAAATTCTCAAACAGAATTTAAATATTAGTTGTCCATAAAAGTGGTGCATAGTCAAATCTAAGCTGTCAAGTGAAAGTAGAGTTCACACCAGACCCTGTCAGGACAAGTAATAAACATATGAAACAAACATGTCTGATAAATACTGCTCTACCAAATTGCCATTAAAAATTAAATTTGTTTATCCTCTAGAAATACGTCTTTTTTTTTGAGTGATTATAGTTCAACATTTAATTTTGCATTTTCCCATTTTTAAATAATTTATTAATATATAAAGCAATATACTTTTATTTTCTTAGAGGTATCTTTCCATTTATAATTTTATACTGATAAATTTCTTTGTGATTAGATTAATCCATAAATTTTTAAAAATCAATGTGATGAAAATCCTCACTTTCAAAGTGTTACTATAATCACATACTAGGTTAACATTTTTACCATAAAAATGAGTCCCCCAGGAAAATCTGAATAAAATGTATCTGAAAATCAAAAATGTGATTACCTGGGGGCTTATAGTTGTGACAGTTTTTCATCATTGTGACCAAATACCTGAGAAAAATTCAGGAGAGGTTTAATTCCACTCAAATTCTCAGCGGTCTCAGTCCATAGTCACTTGGCTCTGTTGCCCAGGGGAAGCAAAACATGGCAGACAGCAGGTGCTGGAGCAAAGAGACTCCACTCGTAGTAGACAGGAGGCAGGGCCAGGGGAAGCCAGAGAGGAGAGGACCAGGGACCTGATATCCCAAGTCACACCCACTTCATTTCCTCTTTCCATCACTTCCCATTATGCCCTTAAATTATGAAGCTAGAGCCCTCAAGATTCAAACATTTCCCCAAACCCAATCAGCAGCCAAGCCTTGAGCACAATAAACATGGGGAACATTTTGGATCTCAGCAAAGGCAAGAATCTTTACATTGTCTGAATGATTCTAACACTTTAATTTTATATGTAATTCATACATGAAACTGCATCTTTAGCATCTAATAATAGTGATAAACTGTTTACCTTGAAGTTGCTGCTTCAGTAATTCTAACTTTACTTTGCCAGGAGACAGCTGTATTAATGAAATAGATAACCATTTATTAGGTGTATATTCTCTTATCCAAAGAAAGTTTGAGTTATTAACAAAAATACCGAAAGCTGTACCATCTTGATACATCCTTTGCAAAAATATATTGTAAAAGCACAATATAAAATCAATAATCATTAAAGCATTTGTGGCCCTTTTAACATTAGAAAAAAATTCATATAAAGAAAATAATTTGGATGAAAAATATATATACAATCTATACTGCAATCAGAGCCTACCAAGAAATGCATACTCACTTCAGGAAAAAAATAAATGCCTGAAAGGTAATGACTACCACTTTGAGCACCTCTTGTAATTGTAGAGGCTAAGAGTAACTTGTATTAATCTCATGATGTCTCAATAAATTCAGTATTAATGTACTTATACAAGTTTTTCTTTTCCTGAAATGTGGATATATTTTTGGTGGATATAATTTCAACAAAAATATATAGCCTCATGAAATGATTTTAAGTGCTAGTATTTAAATACTAAGATGATTCTATATACCTTGTAGCTTTGCTATTTTTGAAGCATACGAAGTCTAATATTTGTATTGACTGAATCTAAACTGAATTCAGAGCTGTCGATACTTACATAAGTTAAAAGCTAATGTTACTAACTTGTTTGCCCATTTGGAGAACCAAATGTAAGTATCATAGCCTTAACCATCAAATATATTATTTATGATCCATGACTTCCCTAAATTGTGACCCCCCAAAATGAGTAAATAAGATTTACTACTGGATATTTTAAATAAATATTCACTTAAAATTCTTGGATCTAAGAAAGAAAACAGATTTACTAATTGAAAGTATTTTCCTTAGTCATATTAAAAATCACATTTAAAGTATACAGACGAACATGGAGGATAGTATGTATTTATACAGACACTGTCAATTCATTTCCAGTTTTAAATTTGCAATTTGTGAGCTCATTTGCCCAATTTGCACATGAGTATATGAGAACAATGGCTGCCTCTATCTCCATGGCTGTACCAAATGCAGTCATCTTTGAAAATTTAAGCCTAATTATTCTCCATGGCTTTGCTTCAAAGAGGCACTTACTGTTCCTATTCTTTGAAGTAGCTGCTCAGATGTTTTCTCATCCAACACAGTGAAGAGGAAAACAGGATTGAAATAATCAGTCTTATCAGTGTCACACTTTTATTTTTAAATTGGTAATGTTATGCAAGTTACAGATAATTTCATTTTTCATAACCAACTTGTCCAGTATGATTACCTTAATGATACATCTGAGTTACAATATTATCAGTGTGCTTATAGATTGCTTGTGTAAAACAGATCGATAGTCCAAAGCAAAAGGAAATATGTATTGGAAAAAATTTATCATTTCTTTTTAGTATGAGCAATACTTTTTGTTCCATGAATGTAGTCATATTTCAAATCATTCAAATGGCATAGAAATATTTCAATGAAAAAACTGATAGCTACTTTTAGGCAAATGACATTTGCTCATTAGTCTGGTGATGGTAGGGGAGCAGGCTAGATCAAAAAAATATATAAGAATATATATGTGTACACACACGTACACATGGAGATATATAGATGCAAAGTACAGGAGTTTAATATGTTGAAGTCTATGTTTTAACTCACTTATGTTTCTCCCAGTAAGTGCTGAAGGATTGCTTTCAGGGACCAAGTCAACTTAATTTTCAATCAGGCAGACACATCCTCTTAATCACTGGAATCAAACCAAGCTGTCAGCTTATGTCTCTCTCCCATTTACAATGCCTCCAAACTCCCACCAATGCTTTAATCTACCACATTGGGCCCAAATCCTCCCACAAATCACCTTTTTAGCTATTCTCGCTCTCAACCCAATTACTACTAAAGCTTTGTAATTATCTACTAATTATCTCTCCATACAGACTCCCCTGCCATTCCATGGAACATCTATTAAATAGTCATTAAACTACCTTGCACATTAAATCTTTTCTAAAAAATCTCTGCCACATGTTCACATTAACTGAAACTCACCTTTCCTTAAACACACCTTTCTCCAGATCACTTTCCAAAGAACTTAGGTTCTTTTGCACTCCTTTCCATTTACCAAGGAAAGAGGAAAACATGATTTCTATTTGTTCCTGCGTGCTGGTTTCAGGACACCCTTCTGCTATCATCATACAGCAAAGTCGTCTACTAAATGTCCCTACTCTCTACTTGTTTCCTTTACACATATTTAGGATCCTCTTCACCCTGAATCATCAATCTGCTCAATATTAGCCACATTTTGGGCTGGTAGTCCAGGACACTTCAATATCCATTTCGTACCCACTCTTCTTGTAATGAAGATCCTCCAACACAAAATGGCTACTCTGAATATACATCTTCAGCCACTCCACCATTATGACCAAACCTTGCATCTAAACAGCATTCCGCGTGACTACACCCTCACACTCCCAAACTCAAGAGTTCCCCAGTACCAGCTTCACTCTCCTTCTCTCTGCCCTCTTAGTTCTACTATATCTACCTACTATTGTGATGAAATAATACAAAGGAGTTTTCTAAAAATCCATGCTGAATAACCCCAGTGGGGCCTTTATGGCTTTTCCACATCCATTCTTTGGTTGCTGGTACATTCCCTCACGTTCTTGGGTAAACTTCCACGAGGGCTACTCCAAACCTTCTCCAGTCCCAAGAACTTGGTGTCATCCCATTTTTTTTTTCTTTCAGCTGAGCAGATGTTGTTGGCTTCAGCGTTACTAAAGTGAGTGATATCTTCCTATTACCATTTTCTGCAATATCCTACCTCATTCACTTGTCAAATACAATCTCTAAAATTTGTTTTTGTTTCCATGCGTTTTTCCTTCTATGTTTCTTATATCAGAGAAAATATATTTCTTCCCTGGAGAGGGCTTCTTTAATGAATGACCTTCTCAAGGACCACATCCTAACAACAGATACATATAAGTATACATCTGCAATCTTTCCCTTGCTTGCGTATCCATCCCTCAGGCTATAAACTTGCACACATCATTTCTGCAATTTTAAAATACAGTATAATAAAGTATTTCCTTGAGCCTATAGGGCTTTTAACATGTCATCCTCTGCTCCTATGTTCATTGCAAAAATTGTTCTTACTTTTTCTCTGACACTTCTCCCTCTTAAACTATTTGAAACCCATTTTCACTTCTAATAATGACCCAATTATTAAATTTAGATTTTTTTAGATTTTCTTATTTTTCCTATACATTTTAAAGTGATTTTTCAGATAATTTCTCAAAATATTTTCATGTGTATTATCTCACACATTGCTCAGAACTTTGTGAAGTGATAAATTTACAAACGTGGTAACAGAGATTCAGAAATGATAAGTGCCCTGCCTAATATGATAGAGTCAGTTATTTGAGTTAAAATTTTAATCTATGGAGTCTAAAACAAGGTTTCCCAACCTCAGCACCATCAATATCTTGGGCCAAATAATTCTTCTTGGGCTGTCCAGTATATGGTAGAATATTTACCAATATCCCTGGCCTGTATTCACTAAATACCTTTAGCAAAAAA